GGCTTGAACTTCACTGGGTATGGGACCGTGTCCCATTCGATAGGGTAGGGACGTACCACCCCCAGCTTGTTCATGTTTTGCTGAAGCTTCAGCGCGTTCAGTTGGTCCTGGAACTCGTCGAATCTTTTGTCACGGGTGCTATCCGCGGTGTGCGACGTTCCTATCGATGTTTTGGAGGAGTAATCGGATTGTCGATCATCCTCCGTCTCAGCCGCTGGACGGTGAGGTGGTACCCATTCTTTATCCCTAGTCTGCCGGGGCAAGGGACGTTGGGTTCCCTTCTTTTTCTTCTTGCTCAGCAGTTGCTCCATCATCTCTCTTAGAGAGTCGATGGTCGCCTGCTGTGCCTCCAACTTTTGAGCCATTGTCTGCTCGTGGTTGGTATCGGTCATGTGCGCCCTCGCCTGCGCGTCTTGACTTGAGCGCGAGGTCTGGGATGTGGCCGCCGCCGAATGAACCTCATCTTCGCCGCAGGAGGGAGGTATTAGGGTGGAATAGTCAAACCCAATACTTACCCCCCGGCGACTACGGGTTCGCTGGAATATGCCTTCCTGCCGGCGTCGGGCAGACCGGGTGTTAGGTCTTAAGACGGAGTCCGAGTCTGGCGAGTCGGAGAGTACCGCCTTCCCTTTATCCGTCATGTTGACTGTGGCGGATGAGAGTTCCAGGTCGTCAGCAGCGCGTCTTTTCTGGTGACGGCGCCTTCGACGGGAGGGCCTCGGTCGAGAGGCCTGTTGAGAAAGCCTCTCAAATACCGAAGGTTTCGCCGTTCCAACGCATTGGCAGTCGGCGAGGACCGTGTGGATGAGTCTCTCGCAATGACACTGAGGATTCGCCTCGTGAATAGTGCGTTTGCGAGTCAAGAATTCTCTGAGGTCTTCTACGGGTGGTTGGTGACAACCCCGGGCCTCAGAAGAGTCGCTCTGGTGAGCTGACGAGAGATTTTTGGGCGCTCTCTCTGGCGCGTGTTGGGTGGAACGCCTTGGTGTTGGAGTCAGGCGATCTCGCCTTGACTGGCGAGTCTTCGCGTTTGAGCGAATTCCAGTATGTGGGCGAGTTTCGACCCCGTGTTTAGAAGAGCGGGTTCGGGAGGAACCGCCTATTTCCTTTCCTTTACGTTTATCCGCCAAATGATTATGGCGAGGCTCGCCAGCCTTCGAGGATTCGCCTACTTGGGTAAGCTCGTATGCTCGGTGTGGTTTGTTCGCATCAGGGATATGACCTGAGAAGCGAAGTCCTCCTGAGCGGATGGCTCTGCTGTCCTCGGTTGACGCTCCTGATTTGGAGGGCCTTCTGAGGTCGGGCAGCTTGCCTTCCCGTCTAGTGTTTCTCGGGCCTGTGTGATGGTTCAGGCCATTATGAGAAATGGAGGTTTGGACCCCCTGTCTGACGGGTGTTTGCCGTCGCTGTTGGTTAGTTCTCCCAGCGGGGAGAACGTCACCGTGGGTTGTGGCATTGCGGTTTGTGCCGGAGTGAACCGGCGCTTCCTCCGAGGTAGGTGTCTGTGTGGACCGCTTGGCGATCCATCTGGCAGACCCTTGCCTCTTGCGCTCGATCTCTGGCTTGGCCTTGATCGATCGCGAGGGAGTGGGCTCCTCCGATGAGACTCGGTTGGAACCCTCGGGTGCGGAGGCTTTGACCGTCTGAGGTCGGCCTCGGCGCACAGCTCTGTGGCGTTTGCGGGACGCATTGCCACCCGAGGAGGAGGAGGACAAGTATTCTTCGTACTTGGCCTGGTCGAACTCGATTTCGAGGGACTCTACTGTCGTCCCGATAGTAACCTCATCAAACTGAGCCACCACCATTTCACTCGATGAAACAGCTGCTCCCACTGTGGTCGCCATCTTCTGTAGGGTGAAAATTTGATTCTTCCGAAGAAAGGAGTTTCGTTTGTATTTATAAGAAAGCTTATTACAAACTAACAAATCAAATGTTTACAACAGAAGCAGAGGGAAGGCCCTCTTTGTTTTGTGTGGGGACTTTAGGTGGCTATAGGACGCTTCGCTCGATGCTCGGGTCGAGTCTGCTTCCCTTGGACCGTTTGAATGAGGTTGCTGGAGAGCTTCAGTTCGCAGTAGAAGCTCGGGGCAATGGAGTTCGGGTCTGCTTGGTTCGTCGGCGATCGGAGCTCGGAACTAGGCAGCAGTGCTGTAATGCAAGGATTTGCTAACAGCTTGGTCTCAACTCTTTTTTCTCCAAGTTTTGCGACCTCTCTTCCATCGTGCTGGAAGGGGTTTTTAAATGAAAGAAGGACAGCTTGACTTCTCCTTGAATTGTGGGATGTGACCACATCCTCTTCAGAGACGTCTCGCCGTTCCTCGATACCATGAATGGTCATTCCAGGGATTGTGCTTTATGTCCTGTCACCTACGATGGGAAGGCCCATTCTTGTATGTGAGGCAACAAACGACTGCTATCCGAGTGGATTTGACCAGCATTAATGAACCGCATTTATGAGTTCGCAGATCGATGAAGTGTCTGTCCGATCACTTGTACTGTGCGTGACCGCCCGGCGTGCTTTGAGCACGATGCTTTCTCCTTTCCGGTCAGGAGAGGCGGTGAAGTAGGGGTACAGTACTCGAGTGTGTCTAGCCAGCTTGCCGAGTGCCGACGGATCCAGCTCTTGGTTCAGACAGCCGAGGTGAGTCGCATTTATGAATGCTCAGGTTGACTCGACGCCTGTCCAGTCCTTCGCGCTGTGTGCACTGTGGGCGGCCGTTTGACGGTCCTGGGGTACTGTGCTCTCTCTCCCTTCGGGTCGAGAGAGATGGGAAGGTCCATCTCAGCATGTGGGGTAGTGGATACCCAGCTGTACTGACGGTTTTGGGGCTTGCTGGCGGATTCGACTCCGAACTCGGGCAGGCGAGTTGAGCGAAGAGCGAATTTCCGCCATCCTGATCGACCCTGACTCATGCTGGCGAGTCGACCGCAGGCGAACCTGGACTTGAGTACAGTCGACGTCTACGCGGTTTAGGTCCGTGCCAGAGAACTGGGCGTGCGAACTCTTCTCGTAGGCAAATTTCCTGTAGACCCATAGAGGTATTTTTTACCGTCTACAATTATAAACATTATGCATTTATTATCTTGTCAAATCACACTTCTTTTTATCAGCTCCTAATTCTTTCTGCATAATTGTTTGACTGGCAGTAGGATTCAGGCCTTTGTCCTTGAAATTTTGATGTTTCTGAGACTTTTTTGGTTGGAATTACTTGTTAAGTTGGAGAATTGTTGTCAAATTTCAAGTTATTATGCTGACCTTGTAACTGATATATGAAATTGCAAAAACTTATGTAGGCCCTGTCCATTTTTGCTTACTATGATTATTTAAGCTGTGAAGTGGGACATGTCTATTTGAGAGTGGAAATATTTTGTTGTCCCACCCTGATCCTTAAGGATTTAGTTATCAATTTTGTTGCTAATCTTTTTTTTAAAAAACTATATATCTGATGCCACTCTTTGTTTTCCTGTCAATGACGTGAAACATCACTTTCATTTTTGCAGCGTTGTCATTCTTATCAGCCTACAAATAAATGTTATAGAGTGGGGGCATCTTAGAAAAGGTGTGCATTCTAGAACTCCTATATAGCGTGAAAGCACTGGCTTGCGAACCTTCTCCACCAAATAATTAATGGTCTTCATGATGTGTAATGCGAAACAGTAGCAACATGACATCATGGGAGGTAGATATTTAAATCATATTATAATCATTTCAAAGGTTGTCTTCATATGGTTACTATGCTTTTATATTTTATTTGCAGCTTTCTTCACCTTTCATATCTGCGATTGCCTGTGTGTGTGCCTTGATTGAGTGGGTTGTTAAGAGAAGTGGGATATGTGTCTGCATGTTTGTTCTCTTGTGTTGCCTTAGTTCTTCAAACATCTTTCATGGTGGTCTGGTTCTTTTGTGGATATTGCAAAAACTGGCCAATGTTGTGTGAGCTTTTGCGAGGTTGATGATATTTGTACACAAATGTGGATGCAAGTTGATCGGTTACCATATCACTCAATGACGTTATTCATTCTAATTTCATCAATTAGCTAGGTTTATATCATGATATCAAATTACAATACCAATTCAGTGACTTGCTAATTTCTTTTGCAGTGGCATGTTAGTTCAAGCTCTTAGCCTCTTACATTACCTTTTCCACCAAAAAATTGCCAAACATTATTTCAGTGTCTTTGAAATTTGCTTTATTTTCAGATATATTTAAACTTGTCTTTTTGTCACATCTGGCCATATCAACATGTTGGCAAACCATGTAAAGTGCTATAGTCTGATGACCAAACTTTAGTTAATTTTTTTTTAATTCCAGTTCTGGGCGTTAGGTGGAGCAACCATTTGGGGTTCATTTATTCCTCTGTTTGTTGGGTTATATACTGTACAAAATGCCTATATCGGATTCTTATGTAAGCATCTCATTTCTTGAACTTGAAGTTCCGAAGTAGTCCTGATCATGAGTATTTCTAGATTTGATTCCATTGTTGCTTGTTTCTTATTTATTTTACTAGAAGTTGCATCCAGTATCAGGGCGATAATCAGCCACATCAATTGATTTGTAATCTGAAGAGGTCAGGTATGTTGTAATCTAGCTCTGAAGAATTGTTTTTATTGTTATGTTTAGCATTTTTTTACTTGTTAAAAGCTGTAGATATGAAAAATAATGAATAGCAAAAGACATCGTCATGAATTTACTAGATATGCGTAGACCTTTACCTTTTTTGTCTCCAAAAAATGTGGTTGTAGGGATTCAGATTCAGATTCGCTTATTACTGACATAAACAGACGTAACTCATTTGGTTGCTTGCATTCTTCACCTTCAGCTTGTGCTGTAGAAGATTGCTTATCGAAAAGCCCTCAAGGTCACCAGTTTGATAAGAAGCGCATGACTTCATACACATAGTTTTTCTCCCAGCTACAGAAAGATTGAAATATTCTCCGACAATGTTCGATTATTCATGTTACTTCTGTTTTCGCAACGTGATCTCTGTGGCATTATTTTTTGTATTTTGTATTTTTATGTATGTTGCTCTCCAGGCCACCAGTTTTTCCTCCGTCTTCAATTGTATTTGGATATTACAGAATAAAAGTTTGATAATAGTTTATAGCTGCTTTAATATCCCCCCACCCCCCAACCCCACCCCCACCTAAATATCTGCTGTGGTTAGGACTGTTACCAGAAGTTCTAGCATTAAAAACAAGGAAAGAAAAGATTCTAGCATTAGATTTATTGGTGCTATGAGTTACAGGTGCAGGGAATATGTGGGAGAAGCTTACAAGCGGAACTATCACAAGTTTAGAATTGGTTGTTCTACGGAATCCTATTCTGTTTGCATTGGAATCCATTTTTCTATTTTTCACCGATTTAAACTGTTATAAAGCGAGCATTGTGAAACTCGTAAGTTGACCATTGGAGTCTACAAATAATTCTAGAAAATTTATATTGATGACATACTCTGCATCAGGACATAGAGACTGCTCACTTCAACAATGACAAGCAAATCTAATTGTTTATTGTTTTATTATTTACTTCTAACGTCCTATTCCATGTCTCAAACAACAAGCTGACCACAATTACATTATATAAGAGGGTTGCGATATCTCTATGTCTTTTTCTATCTTTCATTTAGTAACAAAGCAGGACTATACAGTTTTTGTATCTAAAACAGCAATTCTAATCAGAAGCTAGGCATGAAAATAAAAACATTAGCAGAGAAATAGCAAATAACATATTAACATGGCATACTTAGTTGTAACAAACTGTTTCAATGAATGGTGGCTATGCCATCATAAATTGATAGCTAACCTACCATTTAATCATATCAAGAATTTTTCGGATGGTTTGGGCATGGGGAGTCTCAATGGTCTTGTGTTTCATATAGGCTAACACAGTGAACCATATCATATAACGCAAATCAACTTGGCAGTTGAAACCAAGTCAATAGACCAATGGAACTATAGATTTTTAGGGCTTAGTGAATCAGGGAAAGGAGATTATTAATTTCCACAAGTTCTGTCACTATTATTCTCAGTTCTCAAGAAGACCATTCAAAAGAATAAGAGTTCGCCGGATTCTACGACGAGGAAAGATTATGAACAAGTACATATTTAACCACCTCAATCCCTTTCCTTTTACTTACTCACATTAGATGCCACACCTCAATCTCTTTAAAAGGGAGAACAAGTGGTTGCTTAACATAGCCTTCTTGTCACCATGCATCAGGACAAGACGAAAATGCAGGCAGCTTACTAAAAACTCGAGTAGCAAATGATTCAAAAGAAGCTTTGATGAGTCAATAGTTCTATATGTCATTGCTATTAGCCAGTGATAATTCAGTTTCAGTGGACCTATGCTACATCTGAATTTCATTCTTATAAGATGGTTGATTGAAACTCAATGGTGTATATCAAATAAAATTCTTTCATAAAATTATTCATTGTTTTTTATTGTTAAAGACGAAAACAATCTATTTAATCCTTTTTAATTTTTAAATTCTATCCATATATTTGATACATGGTTTAATTTAAATAAATCTTAATAAAATGAATCAATAATAAAATAATAAATAAAACAATTTACCACGTGCATTGCACGTGAAATCCAACTAGTATATTATATATATATATATATATATGCGCGTGCTTGTGTGTTTGCGTTCGGTAGGCTAGGGAGGAATTAACTCTCCTTAATCCCCAAATAAGCCTTTGCAAAACGGGGCCATTAGTGCTAATTAACAAGGTTAACATGTTCGGTCGGTCTTGGCTATTACTAAACTGACTGGAACTGACATAAATTCAAAACTGGGCATAACTCAACCTAATCAGTTCAATGAACTTTGTTTCGGTTCGTTTGGTTTGCGTCTAGACACATCATGTCAGAGCAATCTTAGCCAAAAGAACAATATTTTTCCTTCCTCAATCCTTCCATTCGTTTTTGTCTGAAAGTTGAAAGCCAACGCAGCCCCGACCCCAAACTAAAAGTTGAACCATCCATTAAGATGCATGTGTACGTCTAATAGTTTAGAATTCTCTTTTCATCTAGTGGATAAAGTTGGGTTCGAATACTCTATAATTAAAACCGAATCGGAAATCGGAAACCGAATTGATCTAACGAAAGTCGGTCAGTTTAATTGATTAAATTTAACACCGATCAATGCTCATTCCTATGCATAGCCAAAATCCAAATTCATAATATTTTTAGGGGCAGATTTCTCGAGTACTGCCCTGATATTTTTCGGGTTTCCTGCCCTAACCTTCATAAATTTTGTTAACACCCATGAATGAACCTTGCGTTGTCCCACGACCCCCCTTAAACTTGCAAAATTATCCAAATGATGCCCAAGCGGAGATCGGGGGTACAGGTTAAACTGGTTTCTTTGTCTTTTGGCCACACCCACCCGCTCCGTTAGGGGTCCTGGGGAAAATTGGAAAGTCTGGGCTAGGGGATCGATCAATCAGTGGGATAAAAAATGTAGGACCAGCCCGCGAGGCTACAGCCATCCACCATCACGACCAGCGGATAAAAGAAGAAACCCAGAGAGGAGGCCGGGAGAAAATGGCGATGATGCGAACCCAAGCGTCAAGCGCCCTAATCTCCACCTACGAGTCATCTCTCCTCCTCTCCTCGCGCCAAAAATTATCCATATTCAACCGCCCATCCTTCTCCTCCAAGCTCCTCCCCACGCAACCTCTCTCATGCTCCCATGTCCATTCCACCTCTCTCACAGCGAAACGCCGCTTCTCCTCTCAAGAAGCAACAGCAGAGGCTGCAGAAGAGTACGCTTTCTCGTAAGAGTTTGTGTGTGTTGGGGGTGTGTGTGTTGGGGGGGGGGGGGGGTGGGTGGGTGGTGGTTTCGATCGGTGTGTGTTCTTCAAGATTCTCAGAATTTGGCGGCGATGTTTAGGCATAGTTTAATTGTGTTTGTTTTGTTTCTGTGCAGCTGAGGATTTGTGCTTCAAGTTGCCGTTGAAAATAGTGGAGTACCCTGACCCTGTACTAAGGGCTCGGAACAAGCGCATCAATACCTTTGACGACGGAGTCAAGGAGTTGGTTCACGAGATGTTCGATATAATGTACAAGTAAGTTCCTTTTTGTTGATAGCTGAAAATCTTTGTTACCTTGTTTCTGTGGGGGCAATATCAGATGTATGTAGCGGACAGCTGGATGCAGGGCATTGAGAATTTCAGTCGGAAAAAGAGTTCCTCAATTCATTATGTATTTTAGTGGTGCACTTGACAAACTCGACAAGTTAGCATCTCTAAGATTTTGGAACTTTTTGATTAGATGCTGAAGAACAACAAAGCGGTGAGGTGGGGTATCGGTTGAACTTAATGACATTTGGGCTTTCTAGTGGGACTGACTACCTTCATGAGGTTTTAGAGTAAGAAATTGTTGTTGTGCATTGTGATGATGCGTATGGTGTATAGCAATAGTGAAGAACAACATGTAGGATGTAGAACAACTCTTGAGAGAGCAGAGAATTTAGCCTATTACCAAAAGCGCGTTCTTCACAGTTCGGATTATGTTCCTTGGCTATTTCATGTCTTGTGGCAACATTAGTTGGCCACACAAAGTTAGCACTATGACTACTGCCTTAGAAAGACTCGCATAAAGTAGGGAGCTGTCATGATTGTCATCTCTTTAATGGAGGTTCACCATACGTTTTAGCTCGTTGTTACTCAAATGGGTGGATTCTTTGCGTGTTCAAATTTGGTGCAGTTACATTTGGAAGAACTAAGACAATAATCAACGAAGCTTCAATATTAGCTACCAAAATTTTAAATTTGTTTTCAAAGTAGATTTTGATGCCTCCAACGTGGTAATGGGTGTTGCACCGGGCTAAGAATATTACCAATGCTCCTTCATGAGAAGTTAAGGGAAATCCAAATTAAGTACTCTACAATCTACATAGATACCTATATAGATAAGGAGTTCTATTTTGTAGTGTGTCTTAGTTGGAGCCACTACCTATTGCACTAGGAGCTTCTATAGTACTCCGATGATGAAGGGCTCAAGCCTTTAGATTCACATCATAAACTCTCGACGTTATTCTAGATGGAGTGAGTATTTCAATCCTTTCCACTCAGGGGTGGATTCAGAAACTTTGTCCAGTGAGGGCAAGACTACAAATATAATTACTATATGTTATTTTTAACTACATAGTAGTGATACCAATATCAACCATGGGTGTTTATTTCAAGAATTTGCAAAATAATATGAGAGAAAATTGATATATGAGGTTAGTACTAAACTAGCATATTGACACATACAAAATTGCAAATAACATTAAATTTTTATCTAAACAATTCTTGCCCCTACATGTCAATTACATTATGATGATTTAATATGTACTTACAAGGATTTCTACTAAAAGATGCACTTGCATAGTGTAAATGTTCAAAATAGTAAAACAAGTATAAAATGTATATTTTAACCATGATTTCAATTTAAAAATAAAGATAAAATAATATCTTTAAAAAATTATTGACTAAACTATTGACAATTGTGTGCAAAATTAGAGTAAATCTATTGTTGTAGGCTTTCAAAATACATATAAACTAATTTAATTTGAATAATTTTAGAAAAGAAGTGATGTCAATATCAAGTAGTAGAATGATAAACAACTATTTAGTTGGAATAGATAGAAATGAAACTTTACTGTGAGGGTGAGAGAGTTTGCTTTTTTTAATCCAGTATGGCTGGAGAAGAAGTAATGATTGAGGTGATATTACCACACTCTTTTAAAAAATTACAAAAAACATGAAGGATAGACTACGTTAGAGTGGATTGAGCATAAAAGTAAAATTGGTGTGTGTTTAACAAATGTGTTAGAATTACACCCTTCAATAAACTGTACTCTATAATTTTCATCTTATATCTATAAAAAGTATAGGTGAAAGAAGGAAAAATGTGATGAGAAGGGTGACATTTAAGGCGTCAATGTGGGTAGTTAACCCCACTGCCTCTCCTGTAGATTTGCCATTGCTTTCACTCCTTAAAACACACTTTTGTGCAGAGAATCATGTACCAAATTGTTACATCCCGCCTCATAGAACATGACTTTTGCCATGTAGTCATGGCAATACGGTAATTCTATAATTTTCTACAAAAATCTAGAGTACTTAAGAAGTGTCTAGAGTGTTCTAGAAGCTTTTGAAACATTTCAGAATGTGTAGTCGTCTAGAGCATGATAGAATGTTCTAGAGTAGTGGAGTGTACGAGAATGTTGTAGAATGTAGCAGAGTAGTAGAACTCTCTAGAACCATGAAGAACTATGAAGATTGTAAATGGTCCTAGAGTTTTCCATAAGAGGAGTGTGGAGGTCTATAAATTGGGGAGGACCCTCACTTTCCAAACTATCATTTTAAACTTGTGATTCTTTATGAGTGTAATATAAGAGCTCTCTCTTTGCATTGCTCTCTTGTTTAGCAAGTTAGTTTGATTGTATACGAGTGATAGAGGCTGAACTTAGTGAATTATTCATTTGAGACTTGCTAAGTGCTGCATGTGAGCTTGGAAAAGATTTAAGTTCGTGATAAGTGGTATTAGAGCCTTGTTGCGAGTAAGGCGTATGGGCTACTATTGAGGGAACAATGTTGACTTCATGTGTAGATGATAATGTTTCCATACATTATGGGGAGGAGACTATCCTTTCTCACATCGCTCATCCCAGGAGGGACAGGTCTCATGATATTGTATCAAGCTTCGATGGGCGTCTTCAAGTTGGAGGAGTTCCTTGTCGACTTCAAGAAAAGACTTGAGGCATTAGAAGGAGATAATGAGGAATGGGCTATAGCCATGGTAGGCCTACGAGAGGTGCTCTTCAATCTTTGAGCTCGGGTGGAGTTGTTTGAGAGGATGGCCAACGATATGGTTGTCGAGAAGTAGTCTTTGGTGGATTGCACTAAGAGAGTTTTGAAGCGGCATGAAGAGAAATTGTGCATGTATAACTAAGCCTTTGCCAAACTTAAGAAGGATTGAACTTTATGCCATAAGGTGACAGCCAGTGGTGTGGTTGTAAAAGACTTGCCAAGGTGGAGGTGTCGAAACCCCAACACTACGTTGGAAAGCGTGAGGCAAAGGAAATTAACAATTTCTTTTGGCAAATGGAGAGCTATTGTGAGGCGGTAAGCTTGAATAGAGATGCTAGTCGAGTGAAGACTGCTATGCTGTACTTTACGGAGGATGCTGCTCTATGGTAGTGCATGACGCACCAAGAGTATAGAGAGACGGATCGAGGGCTGCCAAGTTGGATGGAGTTCAAAGAAATTGTTTATGCTTAATTCTCCCAAGAGGTAGATTGGGTTGCAAGAGACAATATGCGAACTCTGAAGCATATGTGAACTAGCCATGACTATGTGAAGGAGTATGTTTCCTTAAAGCTTCAGATGCGTGACAAACCTGATTAGGACCTTTTGTATGATTTTATCAAGGGACTTCAACTGCGAGTACAAGAAATGTGAGGTTATTGACCTAAGGCCTTCACAGAAGTTGTGACCATTAGTGAGTCCTTTGAATTTAATAAGAAGGGCAACTTATCAAAATTTGAGAAGGATAACAAGGGTAAAGGTGAGGGAGCCTTTATAAAGAGTTCTAATAGGTATAATAAGGATAGGCATGACAAGTCCTACAAGTCCAAAGTTTTCTCTATGGACAAGAAGTTTAAACTCAAGGGATGTTACTTCTGCGATGGTATGCATCAATGGAGGGATTGTTCCAAGAGGCAACATTGGAGGAAGTGTTACTAGATGTAGGCCCTTAATGCTATAGTCGAGCAAGAGGAGAGCACACTTGATAAAGAGAAACAAATGGGATCACTGGAGCATCTCAATGCCTTGAATGTCAAACCCTCATTGAAGTCCTCACCTAATGACGGGTTGAGGTACGTGGATGCAATGATCAATGGCAAAGCTGCGCTTGCCATGCTAGACATGGGTGCGACACACAACTTCATAGCAGAGGATGAAGGTAAATGACTTCAATTGATGGTGTCCGAGTCTACAAGTAACATCAAGACAATGAATGCTTCTCCTAAGCCAATTTACGACATTGCACAAGGGGAAGTCATAGTATTGGCACATGGTAGGGAACATTAGAGTTCATGGTGGTACTGATGGAGGACTTTGTGGTCATGTTTGGCATGGATCTCTTCAACCAAGCAAAGGTTGTGCCTACTCCACACTTGGAGCAGACCGTGATCACAAAGGAGACACTATGCATAGTTTCAACCGAGGTATGCACTAAGACAGTTGAATTCTTGTTTGCCATGCAGCTCAAGAAAGGCTTCCAAAAGGGAGAAGTTACCTCTCTGGCAACAAAAGATAATCTAGCATAAGTAGATGGAGAAAGATGCCTCGAGAGACAGCTAAGGTATTGGATGAGTTTTAGGGTATAATGCCATCGGAGTTACATAGGAAGTTGCCACTGAAGAGGGAGATTGATCACTGGATGTAGTTAGTGCTCGATGCTAAACCGTCAACCATGACGCCATACCATATGACCTCGTTGGGGTTAGAAGAGATGAGGAAGCAACTAAAGGCAATGCTGGAATCTACAAATCCAACCATCTAAGTCACTTAATGACTCGCCCGTGCTATTCCAACAGAAGCATGATGGATCACTAAGAATGTGTATGAAACTATCGGGCGTTGAACAAAATCACAATAAAGAACAAATATCCCATTCATTTGATAGCTAACTTATTCGATCAGTTGGGAAAACACGATTCTACACTAAGCTGGATCTAAGTTTGGGGTATTATTAAGTGAGAATAGCTGCAAAGGACGTGCTATGCGTGATAAGGTACGATTCCTATAAATTCCTGGTCATGTTGTTTGGTTTAGCAAATGTCTCAGCTATATTCTGCACTTTGATGAACAATATATTCTAGCCCTATCCGGATCAGTTTGTGGTGGTACCTAGATGACATGTGATCTATATCCCTACCTTAAAAAGAGCACATCGACTACGTGTAAGCTGTGTTTAGACTTCTCTAAGAGAATGAATTATATGTGAAGTAAGAAAAGTGCTCATTTGCAAAAGAAGAATTGTTGTTCTTAGGGCACAAGATTAAGGGCGG